CATCATTGGGCCCATAGAGCAGGTGCACTAGAAACTTTCCTATCAGAGCAGCTAACTTCCAGTTTAGACCTGCGCTAACTTCAAGGGGAATAAAATTATTTAAGCATGCAGTCCCTCTACACTCTTGAAATCGGACTGAATCAATCAAATCCTGATATTTAAACAAATCATTTGCAGGGGATGTGATGCTTGAAAACTGTATCCATTGGTTTACAGATGTCTCTTTCACTGCTTTGCCAGTAGACACACGTCAAAATATGATGCACCCTTCTGCATCTGTTTTGGATGTTCATGTACAGCATGTCAATTTATACTTGTTACATGTATTGTGTCTTATACCTACATTTTCACAGGAAATGTACAGTTCTGCTCTTTAAATACATACAAATTTTTAAACTAAACTGACAATGTAGGTAAAACACTTCGTTGTCAGATTGATTTCCTCAGGCTTTGGCAACAAAAGCATGTGGTTAGGTTGAGACAAAAAAACATCATGGTTTGGGCTTAAAATTCACATGCAAAATGAACAGCTGCCTCCTGTGTGACAGTCTGGAGTTTGTTCTGAAGTTTTAAACATAAGCAGAAACCTTGCTGTAGCACAGATGAGCTATTGAAATCCAGGTGTTTTTAATGAATTAATCTATCAATAATGTGAAATGGTGCCACATGCATATCTTACTTGCATAGGTTACTTATCCAACACAAAAGACACAAAGGAGGACTGAGTAAATCATGCCTACATGTGTGTTGACTCAGCAGTGATAACATTAAATGAGAAAAGTTGAGCTGCAAGAGAGTAAATATTTGAAAGCAATACAGAATGTCTGAGAGCCTTACTGTATTATAATACATTATATCTTTATATTTTGAATTGTTACCTGACACCTGAATTTTGTGTTTTCCTTGATGTAAATAAAAACATTTCCACCATAAATTGGAGCATAAAAATGGAGGGGCTGTAGGTGCATTGTGCAGAGGGCTGGCTAGCAGTAGGCTGACAGCCAGTGATCAGTCCTTGACATCTGGTTGCCCACCTTCGTCTTGTGGAGGTGGGCGTAGTTTGATCCAAAGTGGGTTGAAAATATGATAGATAGATTCCTTTAACCGGGACATCATGGAGTGGTGAGAGGAGATGTAAAATGTTGGGATGGCTGCTACTGTAATGAAAAACATATTTAGAACAGATCTTTTAAACACAAACTAAGAACATGACAGTTTGCTTCAGTTTGCATTAGCACAGTAAATAATTTCTATGATATGAACTAGTGCTGACCCTAATGTTTAATACCATGAATCCAGGTATATCCTGTAGGATCGCCACCTTGTCGATCTGCTGTCTCCTCCTCCTCATCCCCCAGGTGTTCCCTATGATCAGCACACAAACCACCAACATAGCTGATGCCACAGAAGATGCCACAGCTGTAAAAAGAATGGGATTATTAGCAGCTACCTGCAGAGCACCTTGGTCTGCAGCCTTCATCAGACCTGCATCAGATAGGACTGCAGAGCGGGGAAGAGGCTGAGATACCAACAGATCAGATATATCTGAGGACAAACAGATAACAACTGTGACGTTTCAGAGACAGGATAATATAAAATAAGGTTGTGTGTGATATCTTGGTCCTGTCTGACTCCACACCTTCCAGACTGAAGAGGAAGAAGGCATCGTCTCCTTTGATGAAGTTTCTGCTCTTTAGTCTGCTGTGGCTGATGAAGGCAGTCGTTCCGTAGCCTGGGCCTCGATAGTAAAAGCTGCCATCAGACTCACACACTTTAGAGCCCACTTTCCTGGGATTATCCCAGAAGTACTCAGTGCCTGTGAAGAAACAGGTGAACTGTCAATCTCTCTTTGACCAACAGCAATAAGAGGTGAATCCAGCTTGGTACACTAAAAGTTATCCCCAGTTCTCTTACCATCAGAGAACTTCATGTCGGGGTCAGTGGTGAGCATTTTGTGCATGTTCATTTGCTGTCTGATGTCAGATTGCTGATCCATCAGGGCCAGAGTTGCCTGCTGCCACGGACATGGCCACTTGAGTTTGTAGTCATTGGGGCCTGAAGTCAGGTGGAAGAAGGTGGCCAAGTACCCTGGATGGTCACTTGTTCCGTTCATGTACACACCTACCTACAGATCACAAAGCAGTATGAAGCAATCCCATCGGCTATTAGTCTGATGACAAATTCAGCCTCTGGTGGCATTTCATGGGATCCATTTTAGACATTAGATATGCTTGAAACTGATATTAGCCAAGACTTCCACTTTTGTGCACCAGTCATTGCTTCATAGGCGTCATTTAGGTATGGCAAGGTATGGCAGCTGCCATACCTTGGAATTGGGAGAAAAAAAGAGAGAGGTTCTGTAGTCATCTTACTGGAGGCGCACTGGCTGGTTGTTTTCATTGTATTGCACTTAAATAGGTCAGTAATATGCTCATCAGTGAATACGAGTGTTATTGAATCAAATTGTTTGCCACTTCGCTCCTCCGTGAGTTATGAGTTATGTGAGTTACCGTATCTGTGTGTTAGACAGCCTGTCTAAATGATGTCTTGAAGCCTGTCTGATTGGGTTTTTTTTCTTCATGTCGGCATGTTAAGCTTGTATTTTCGGTCTCTGGAGACACTCCAATAAATTCGCCTATACAGTATTGTACCAGATTGGCCTTTGTTTTACTGTGTTTCATACACCGGACCCCTTGGTTATCTTCTAGAAATGAGCTTGTAATTAATTTATTTTCTTTATTTTCTGTGAAGTTAAATAATGATAATCAAACGTCCACTCGCTGTCCGTGGTGCTGAAATATGCACCGAAATAGGTCCGATATTTTCACTGCTCTCACCAAGTCGTGCATTACATGCAGACATGAGATATTATGAATGTGAGAAACAGCTTCATGTCCTTTGAAACAGTTTTCAATAGCATAGTATGTACTTCTGACAGGTCAAAGACCAAAGTGAAGTTTTATATAAGTTCATATTTTTGAAACTCCATCATCAGTAGCTCTGTGACGTCATGTCATACCCTTTGTTAACACATTATTTTGAAAAGCAGGCGCAGTCATAATAATTGTATCCTTCGGCTAACTTTGCCATGCCATCTGCTTATAGAGAATAAGTAATGTTAAAGCCTCAGTGTGTAAAAATGGTGAGTAACAGTGACATCAGCGGTCAAATTCTAGATTGCAGCGCTCACCCGCGCTCACTCGCTCACCCCTCCCATCGGGTAAGTAACGGTGGCCTTGTAGGACAAAAAGCCTTGCACTGGTTTTTTGAGTTTTTCAGGAGTACCTAGCAACGAGGTGAATATTTATTTAGCAATCTAAACCATGTTACGATATGTTATAGCTTACCAGTGAGATATAGGTTATCTGTGAGATATATGTTAGGAGTGTTTTATTTCTAATTGTTTTGGTAACGCGAGCAACTGTTAACACAGTAATGCTAAAATAACACGTTTTATATGTGATAGTCATGGCACAGTGCGGCAAATGATTTTAAAATATCAGATTGAATTACCTGTCTAGCAGAAAGCAGGCAACCTCCGCATCCCTTGTGAAATCCTTTTCCTTCAGGAGTTCTTTCCACCACTGGAATAAGCAACACCAACACTCGCGTTTTGTCCCGCCCTCGCTTATCTGATCTTTTTCTTTTATGTGATGGCGTGGTTTCCCTCTTACGGGGCAAAACATATGTGTGATCCTCGATCCATTTAAAATGTGACAGAATCATAAAAGTACAAAGCAGGTTCACGCAGAAGCGCCCCGGATTGATCTTCACCTTCACCTTGACCATTAACGAAAGGCGAAGCATGTATATCCCTTTCGGCCACTGTATTCAAATATGGCGACGCAAAAAGGCAGCCTCCAGCAGACCGCACCCTGCCTGTGTATATGTAGAGAAATCATTCTGAGCCTATGAGAAAGCTTCCATTTGTATGTGAATTGCATTACACTTTAGCAAATATATATTTATGAAAGCAATAGTTGATATTTGCTAATAAACAACCACGTAAATTACACATTGTAACTTTAAAGTACTGTACAAGCATGTGTTAGTAATTTTAGTTCATTGACCATTAACGTAACACCTCCTCAGAACAGATGTTGTTCAATTATAGCAACTAGAACTACAATAGGTGTGTCAAGCTTTGGATTTCTTCAGCATCGAGAGAATCAGATATTTAAAAGGCATTACCTGGAAGGAGTAACCAGCTGGTGACAGAAAGCGAGGGCTGTACAATTTTTCTCCTGCTGGTGTGGTGGCTAGCAGGCCTGTAATGTTGCGGATGTGCCAGGTGTGTTGGGGACACTTGGTGGATGACAGGTTAATGTCATCCAAAGAGAAACCTCCTTTTGAGGGTTTCTTTCCCCTCACACCCTCAAAAACCACACGGGCCTTCTGTGTCATATTCAGATTGATGTTATGCAGTTCCCAGGAGCCCTTGACACCTCCTGTAAAGAGCACAGATAAAACAGAGATGAAACACTAATTTAAAACCATGGTTGGGGTTGTAGGTAAAATATTTGAGTTCTTGATTTGACCTGAGCTGATCTATTCTTACTATATATTATATTTGTTTTTGTTTGATACATGCTTTGAGTGTTATCAGTCCATTTAATGGTCATTATCAGTTGTCAGGGGCATAGATTTGAGGTATAATGTCCTATCTTCTCTATTTATATTTACTCTTAGTGGTGACCTCTAGTGGCCATAGATATAATGTCATAAAACAAAAACCAATCTCTTCAAAAGACAGTAGCTGTATTCTGAATACCAGCAATTAAAATTGTAATGGAATACAGATACTCATGTTTTGTATTTTGAATACATAACGCTGTTACTTGTGTTCTGTTACCCTCTGACCCTGGCTGTTTCTGCCCCTTGTGAAACCAGGAGTTCATGCTGAATTTTTGAACTGACATGACTAATTAAATTTATGTTACATACCTTAGGTCAAAACAGTTGTACTTAATTGAATCCAAACCACGATCTCTTCCTTAACCTGACCTGTAGTTTTAGCACATAAACCTTAAAGTGAAATCTAACAAAACTGTAACTAGAGCTCTAAAGTAAAATTATAACATGAACCAAACCAACTCGTGTGGGTTGAAGCCCAAAACTGGCCTATCTGATATCATCACATAAAATACTGACCCTAAGCCTGAGCCTGACCAAACGAAACCCTCCAAAAAGCACTGGTCGGTCTGTAATGGCTGGGACACACCGGCTGTGTGGCAGAAAAGGGATCAGCTTGGTGGATCACTGAATCTCCACGCTGTATTTCCCCACAAGAGAAGCTCTCTGCTCTGGCCCGGAGGAAGGACAGAGAGCCTAGGACTGAGCCTGGCTGCTTTCTCTCCTTCACTACCTGCCAGATTTGATGCCACACAGGGTGCTCACTTATTCAATATTTTTTATTTATTAAAAGAAAAAACCCAGCTCGAGCCCTAATTGACCTGTCACAGTGCAGCCTGTTGGGCTTCGGGTTGAGAACTGTTACTACAACCATTTCATAGCTTTTGATGTGCACATTCTGGCCTACTGGTAGGTTCACTTTGCCCCATTTGAAGCACTTTAATGGTAGTGACAACAACTGATAACGGCCATTTAATGGTCTGATAACATTCATGAAGGATGTTGTTGAAAAATGAGGGACTGCAGGTGAACACAGGGGCAGTCAAAGTGTTGCTCTGAGCCGCTGATGTCACAAACTTCCAAATTGTGCATAGAGAGGCTTTAATGATAACAACACTGTACATCACACACAACATGTAATATTTCATTTGTTACCTGAAATTCTCTTGAAGAGCTTTAGTTTACCGCTGGGGTTGGCCTTGTCATACTGTCGCACCTGGATATTGAGAACATCATCAGCTGCCCCGCTGTTATAAAGGAAGAACTGCAGACACTGGGCACCAGGTTTGGGGTAAAGCCAACGACTCTCCAGGAAAGCACGGGCACCACATGTAGCAGAGGCTGTGCGGAAGTGCATGAAGTAGCCTTTTCCTGAAGGAGACAACAGTTCAGTAATGTTGGGCCTCAGAAGTTTGTCGTGTTATATTTTATGGTACCATATCCAAGGACTGGCTTTATCATTGTCAATTCAGCAAAGTCTCCTCCAGGTCCTACTGCCTGCACTATGAGTGACTCAGAGTTTTGTGGGTAGCCTTGTAGCTTAGTATGAGCAACAGTAAATCTCAGAATTATGTCTCAGCTTTTTTTAACAAGCAATGAAGGAAACACGCTGTAAATTATATCTATTAAATCAGTACTATGATAAAATAGTACTAAATCAGTGTTTTTTGTTTTACTTATATATTAAGTTTTAATTGTCTTTTGTCCAGCCATATCACTAAGGTTTACTTACATTACTTTTTTGTAAGATTTTCCTTGTGTCCCTTAAAAGAACTGATGAAATCACTGAATCGTGAAACTTACTGCCTCTAGTCACTAGAAAAGTGAGCTGTATTTTTAAAAGGAAATTAAAGACTGATATCTTAATTTAAAAAATATGTGTTTGAAGCCTAGAAAGCCACCAGAAACACAGCAATGTCAAGCTGCTGTGGTTCCCTCCACCTCCACAGTGACCGGGTCAGCTCATATACGACGTCACTTAAGACACACTGATACCTCTGAAATGTGTTGCTCTGTGAAATCTTCAGGCATCTGGGCTTTTTTTTTTTGTTTAATTTTGTGTTTCAATTTTGACATGTGAAGCACTTTGGGCTACAAGTTTGTATGAAAAGTGTTATATACATTTCAAATTTGTAAGTTTATGAATTTATATTTACCTTCAAACAACAATCATTGTGTTTACTGCCAGCTTATGTTTTGTACAGGTCATGTTATAAAATCACTTCAGGCACCTTTTTGTTTTTAAATATCTTCAAGCACAACACACCAAGTATGAACATGAAAAAGAATTGTTTTCACAGGAAATACAGTTTCTACTCGTTACATGCATAAAGTCTGTCATAAAAATTTAATTAGATTGTAGGAAAAAAAAACTCATTTTCAGCTTTACTTACTTAAGGTTAGGCAACAAAAGCATGCAGTTAGGTTTAGAAGAAAACCTTATTTATTTATTAATTCATTCGTTTTCCGTAACCACTTTTCCTGTTGGGGGTTGTGGGGGGGTTGAAGCATATCCCAGCTGACACTGGTCAAGAGGTGGAGTACACCCTGGACAGGTCGACAGACTATCGCAGGGCCAACATACAGAGACAGACAACCATTCACACTCAAATTCACACCTACCTCAGTGGGTCACCAATTAAATTGCATGTCTTTGGTCTGTTGGACGAAGCCAGAGTACCCAGAGAAGGCCCACACTGACATGGGGAGAACATGCAAGCTCTACATAGAAGGGCTTCCCCACCCTGGATTCGAATCACCCACCCTGGATTCAAATCAGGAACCCTCTTGCTGTCAGGCCACAATGCTAACCACTGCACCACCGTGCTGCCACCATTAGTAACATTTGTTACTCACATGATGTAACTTCACTGGTATTGTATGATACCAATACTAGCACACTACATTGTTACTAAAACAACTTGATCAACTTTTGGTTTCACAAGGGACACAAATAGTGGTCTCCCAGGTGAAAGTCTGGAGTTTGTTTGACCCATCCATCTCCACTCCCACCCACCCTATGTGGACTTTCTTGCTCTTTATACTATGGTAGTTGCCCAGAGCATCAAGAAATGCGGCTGCCTGTCGCATCCCATTCCACCACTCAAAAATGTGCACGTGTCTCTGAGGCTGAAAGGCCACTGACCAAGAGTCAGTGTTTGACGTGTTGGGAATGAGACTGGGTTACTACTTCCCTAAAATTGAGAGTTCTGGATATTTCGTAACATATTTGGTATCCTGGAAGTGTTCGGAGTCAGGCTGTTCTCACAGTTTGTGTGATTCCCTGCAAAAAATAACGCAGCCAAATTCATACATATCCCAGATGTTTCGAAAGGCTGCGATCACATGACCAATGCACTGACAGGAGTAAACAAGTAAAGTTAGGCTGGTGGATGGGTCACAAAAACCTGGACTTTCCCCCCAGACTTTCCCCTGGAGTCATATGTTTGGAACGGTGTGAACTTTGAGTCATTTTATTTTAGATTATTTTTGGGCACTTTTGCCCTTAATGATAAGACATCTGTAGATAGATAGGAAAGGTGGGAGGGAGGGGGGATGATATGCAGCAAAGGGCAGCAGGTCAGAATCGAACGTGTGCTGCTGCAAAGGACATAACCTATATGGGGCACACACTCCACCAGGTGACCTAGAGGTTGCCCCTGAGTCATTTCAAGGTATTTTCCTAAACCTAACCTCAGTAACTTTACTTTCCTAAACCTAACCTTCATAACTTTACATAAGATATGTAACTGTATGTTTAGTACGAAAAAGTTATTTGTGGGGCACTAATTCGTACAATATCTTAAGAACCGCTCTATCAGAATGCTTTGTTGGAGTCTACAGTAGATTTTAAAAGGAATGTCCAGGACATTATAAAAGGTCCAACTCCATAACAAACATTTGTTGTGATTGACTGTCACCTTTGCACTGTCCCATGTTGGAGAAGTCAGTCTTAGGCCCTCCACGGGCACTACTACGTCGTTCCCACTTTGCGTGGCCAGGAGCCTGAATCATCCCACAAATGTTCTCCTCCTCAAAGTCACAGCTGTCCACAAAGGTAGAAGACTTGGCTGCGGAGAGGAAACAGACACTTCAATGCAGTGCTTGATAACTGAAGGGAAGGTACTGCATGTAGAGAGCAAAAATGCCACCACACAAATATGGTTACATCGTCAACAGAAGTTAATCTGGACCCAGAAGAACATGAAACAGGCAAGATCTGGCAACCCTCGGCAGAAAGACAATGAAAACTTTCTTGATAAGAGAGGCTGTGATGATAAATAAATGATCATTGAGGTTGTGAGGTTTGATGAATTAGAGGTTATTGTCAAAGATTATTGATATCTATTATCATCATCTCCTGCAAGATAAACTCTGACCTGTCTTTTACCTCTGTGGGATTAAAATATATTTTATTTTATGAGGTGATTTAGTTTATGGATTGTTCAAACACTCAAAGTGCAAGTTGTCTGATTTATTGTTTGATGAACACAATGACGGGTTGACATGACTCACTGCAGTTGTAAAGACGGTTGAGCTTGGTTAGGTCACTAGCACTGAGCCCCATCTTCTGACCAATCACATCCATGAACTGGGGGTTCTTGGTGACGATGGTGGGCTTGGAGCTGATGCTGAAGGATGTCTTGGCGTAGTGCATGACAGAGCCGTAGTCGTAGGGAACGCCGAGCGCGCTGGACACTGTGTCATTGTATTTTATGAAGTTGTGCTCTTCACCTGGGGAATGCAGTTTTTGTTTTTTAACAAGACTAGATGGACCAACAGTACAGCAAACTACTTCCCCTCTATTGTAAAAATGTATTCAGATAGAAGGCATGTATTTGGAGAAAAACACAGGAGATAATAAATACTTTCATTCATTGAGCGCGTTTACATGCACACTAATAAACCGATCATTATCTGATTTCTGGAGTTACCTGATTATTCAAGTGGTCATGTAAACAGCATAATCCGATAGGCTTTATCGGATAAAAGCCATTATCTGATTATGAGAAATCAGATAAACACACCTAGCTTTTTCCCCAATAGTCAGATTATTCAGTGCATGTATACCCTTTAATCTGGTTTCTTTTGGGTTTTGCTATTTTATACTCCCACTCCACTACATTTTAGAGGGAAATATTGTACTTTCTACTCCACTACGTTAATCTGACAGCTTTTGTTTCCTTTCAGATAAAGATTTTACATAAAATAATATATTTTTATATTCTCAGTGTTTAAATTGTCACTTTTATTTTATCTTACTTATATGTTATGCACTTTGTGTGACAAGTTTATATACAGTACAGGCCAAAAGTTTGGACACACCTTCTCATTCAATGCATTTTCTTTATTTTCATGACTATTTACATTGTAGATTCTCACTGAAGGCATCAAAACTATGAATGAACACATGTGGAGTTATGTACTTAACAAAAAAAGGTGAAATAACTGAAAACATGTTTTATATTCTAGTTTCTTCAAAATAGCCACCCTTTGCTCTGATTACTGCTTTGCACACTCTTGGCATTCTCTCCATGAGCTTCAAGAGGTAGTCACCTGAAATGGTTTCCACTTCACAGGTGTGCCTTATCAGGGTTAATTAGTGGAATTTCTTGCTTTATCAATGGGGTTGGGACCATCAGTTGTGTTGTGCAGAAGTCAGGTTAATACACAGCCGACAGCCCTATTGGACAACTGTTAAAATTCATATTATGGCAAGAACCAATCAGCTAACTAAAGAAAAAGGAGTTGCCATCATTACTTTAAGAAATGAAGGTAAGTCAGTCCGGAAAATTGCAAAAACTTTAAATGTGTCCCCAAGTGGAGTCGCAAAAACCATCAAGCGCTACAACGAAACTGGCACACATGAGGACCGACCCAGGAAAGGAAGACCAAGAGTCACCTCTGCTTCTGAGGATAAGTTCATCAGAGTCACCAGCCTCAGAAATCGCAAGTTAACAGCAGCTCAGATCAGAGACCAGATGAATGCCACACAGAGTTCTAGCAGCAGACCCATCTCTAGAACAACTGTTAAGAGGAGACTGCGCCAATCAGGCCTTCATGGTCAAATAGCTGCTAGGAAACCACTGCTAAGGAGAGGCAACAAGCAGAAGAGATTTGTTTGGGCCAAGAAACACAAGGAATGGACATTAGACCAGTGGAAATCTGTGCTTTGGTCTGATGAGTCCAAATTTGAGATCTTTGGTTCCAACCGCTGTGTCTTTGTGAGACGCAGAAAAGGTGAACGGATGGATTCCACATGCCTGGTTCCCACTGTGAAGCATGGAGGAGGAGGTGTGATGGTGTGGGGGTGTTTTGCTGGTGACACTGTTGGGGATTTATTCAAAATTGAAGGCACACTGAACCAGCATGGCTACCACAGCATCCTGCAGCGACATGCCATCCCATCCGGTTTGCATTTAGTTGGACGATCATTTATTTTTCAACAGGACAATGACCCCAAACACACCTCCAGGCTGTGTAAGGGCTATTTGACCAAGAAGGAGAGTGATGGAGTGCTGCGGCAGATGACCTGGCCTCCACAGTCACCGGACCTGAACCCAATCCAGATGGTTTGGGGTGAGCTGGACCGCAGAGTGAAGGCAAGGGGCCAACAAGTGCTAAACACCTCTGGGAACTCCTTCAAGACTGTTGGAAAACCATTTCAGGTGACTACCTCTTGAAGCTCATGGAGAGAATGCCAAGAGTGTGCAAAGCAGTAATCAGAGCAAAGGGTGGCTATTTTGAAGAAACTAGAATATAAAACATGTTTTCAGTTATTTCACCTTTTTTTGTTAAGTACATAACTCCACATGTGTTCATTCATAGTTTTGATGCCTTCAGTGAGAATCTACAATGTAAATAGTCATGAAAATAAAGAAAATGCATTGAATGAGAAGGTGTGTCCAAACTTTTGGCCTGTACTGTACAATACACTTATATATTGCTCTTTGCAGTACTTTTACTCCGAATCTACCCAAAGTATAAAATTGGCTCCATGTATTTGTTAATGATAAAAACAAACAGTACTGTAAGAATATAAGCTGTCAGCATGAGTGCTTTATTTTGCAAATATATGACTTGCGTACTTTTCAAGGTTTTTCAAGGATATGAGTACCTACTGTAACAGGAAGTTTGAGTTTTATGTCATGTACTTGAGGAGAAATCCAACTGAAGGACTGAATCATGTAAACCAGGTTTTTCTGATTATCAGATTATTGAAGTGCACGTAAACATGTCAAATCGGATTATTACCATTACCTGATTATTCCCAGTTATCTGATTATTGTGCGCATGTAACCGTGCTCAATGTCTGAAGTTTCTACATAAAGATTCACCGATCATTGATCAATGTTACCTGATTTGATGTTTCCCCACATGATGGTGATGTAATCATCACGGTCAGCTCTGGACTGCTCGTGCCAGAAGCCCAGAGCGTGCAGGAACTCATGCTCAACAATTCCTAGAGTATCACAGTTTTTACCAATGGACAGCTGCTGCTTCCCCACACGCTGGTTGCCTACATGGGAGGAGCATCTATACAGAGGGGGGAAGTGACACACACTTTTTAATGAGTGGTCTTTTAAGCTGCAGGAGAAGGTCAGCATTCAAAAGCTTTAGTTCAGAACTGGCCTCAGTGTCAGAAGACTATTTGTGCAAAAACCTAAACTAACAGTACATTATACTTGAATTAATGCTGCATATTTATTAGGTTTTTATTGAAATTCTCTGTGGCTTAAAGCAGTAAAATACACTTTGTTTTAGCCAATTGACCCTTTGCTAAGCCCCGTCCCTTTGCGTTAGACTGTCAAGCTGTCATAGAGCCCTGCACTCCACATAGAAATAATATCCAATTTTTGGAACACGGAACAAAATTAGGATTTATTGGTAATCCTGTTTGTTGTCACCCAACAACTACAAGTCCAATATTCACTCTTTTTTATTTCTTTATTTATTTTAGCTCTGATAAGGTCTCTATCAACCCCTGAGAAAAATATTGCTCTACCTGACACCTCATTCACTTGCTGGTGGCTAACTTTGTCTACTGGGCAGGTAATGTGTAAGGCGTGTGCTGTAAAACCAAAACAACCAAAGCAAACCCATCCTCATACCTAAACGGCAGAATAGGTCATTTTCCTGTGTTTCCCAAAATGACATATATGTAACTGTTAACAGTCACAGGTTTAATCAAGAGGTTAATGTTGTGAAACAGTCAGTTACTTAGTTAGGTTTAAAGTTTTAAAATGATTTATATCAGGGTTTTGTGCTTAACTTAAAATAACTCAGTGTTGACTAAGTGAAAGTCCCTTGTTTGTTTGACCCACCCTTCCATCCCGACCTCATCCCTGCACAGACTTTGTTGCGCTTCATACTACGTCACAGATGATTCAGAAAGGTTGTGTCCAGATGGTTACTTTAGAATCACGAAAAACTGCAGCTTGATTTGTTACATCATTTTTCCAATGATCATTTTAACCCAAACCATTATCTCTACCTAATCCTAATCAAGTGCTTTTTGTGCCCAATCTATTCAAACTGCAACCACAGCGTTGTCATAGAAAACAGCGAGACAAGAATGTTTCAAACAGCTTGGGAGAGTTTTGCAAATCTAAGCTTACCACCTAGACACGACCGTTCAGAAAGAAGACAGCTCACTTTAGAGTCATTTCCTGTATCTTTGTCACATGGGTTTTGCCACTGCCCCGTGGCGGAGAGTGGCGGTCCTGAGGCTGTTCACTCCAGTGAGAGAAGTAAATGTGAACACAGACTGACCGATTCTTTCACGTCATAGTCACCAAGGTAAATTTTCGACCAATTTTTGGCAAGCTACATGTCTTTTGAACATTCTGACACTATAGTAGCATGTTTATATAAAAAAAAACCCAAAACAAATAAGGAGAAAACTAACTTTGACATTAACCCAGTGCAACATTGTATCAGCTGTTGCTAAATCTCATGAGAGTGTGTTGCTGAGACATGAGACGTGTCTTGAACAAATATTAAGCTAACAGATAAAAACAAGCTACAAAATAAGGAGCAAAAATCACATTCATAATGTACAGTATCTAGTGTTGTGTTATGTTGAATCTGCTTTCATCCAGCCACTCTACGTTTACACCACTTCCAAATGAGTTGGGGCAGCTGTGCGCACTTAGAAGACTTGAAATGTATACTATCTTATACCAGTAGCGCTACTTTTAATGTGTCATCTTTTGTTGTAGACCAGCTTTTGACCCCTAACTTGATACACATTAGGTCACTTTCCCTCCAGGAACCTCCATCTAAAAAGATTCTGGCCCCAGATCTAAAAAAAACTCCTGGATCTAATAATGTATAACTTTGGTCATGCATTAAAACTCTCATAAATGACATAGTTGATCAAAAATGCAAATTTTGGGCCCCCTGTGTCATTCAAGCAGCACATTTTATGTGATAACGTGCAAAAGACAGCAAGCGCATCAGTAATCACTTTGATGTTATAGCTGGTACAGGTGGAGCTCATTTTAATGACTTTATATACTGCTGGGTAATTTAATCTATAAAAATCTATCATTATTTCTTAGTTAATGATATTTTGCATTTATGATCTGAGTCTACAAAATATCGAAAGCAGACAATAAATGTAGTGCAGTAAAAAGTTTCCCTCTGAGATGTAGACAGGGAATTAAATAGTAAAAAATAAATTATTTCTCCATTTTTCTGGGAACCCCCTGGAACTCCCTTTGCGACTCCTGGCTGAGAACTACTGTCACAGGATATCTTTGCCTGTATCACCTGACTTTCCTCTTTGCTTCTGTCATAATTATTACGGCCACTAGAGGTTGCCACCTAACAGTGAACAGAGATATGGTCTGCTTGCACAGACGACCTACACGGCCTTCATGGGGGAGGATGGTTTGAATAAACACTGACATAGTTGTGTCCAGTAATACAATTTTTATGAAGCGAACAGAGCAGCTCACCCGCTCCCTTTGTACACAGAGATGTAGTTCTTCTCTGTTTTCCATGGTGTGAAGTCAAGGCAGGTCTTCAGTCTGTACTGGTCAAATGCCTTCAGGATCACTCCCTTTGCATTCATCTCTACATGTTACAAAGTGTAACACAAAGAAACAGATGAAATAGCCTCCTAATTTGGTGCATAACCATACTGTAAATGTAAATACTGTGAATGTGAGTTTCCATAATAATGCAGTGTCTTACCCAGGCTGTCCTCTAGGTAGTAGGGAACGGTTGTTGGCCAGCGGTACTTGTCTCCTATGATGGTGTTTCTGAATGTCTGATAGGAATGAAGAGAACAATGCATTATGCAACAGAGATGAATAAAGAAGAGAAGAGAGCGATCTCTCTTCAGTGATCTAACTTAAACCTTATGTTTTCAAATTGCTTGCGTTCCGGCCATGTAAATTAGATAACCTTCAAGCCAAAGAGGTAGTCCATCCTATTAGAACACTTCACCATCTGTTAGTTTGTAGTAGTATAAACTGATCCTGTCAACGAGGGGAATTATTGCTCAGTGGCTTTCCAAACAATCAATTGAAAAATGAGACACAAAATGAGACCTGAGACCAATGAAGTTGTATTATCTCTCAATGCTGAAATGACAACATCTCTACATGGGCATTATTTTCATTATTCAAAGGTTTTATCGTCACATTAATACTGTTCAAATTACCCAACTTTATGTCCTGCATATACAGCTCAAATTCAGAATCGGAGTTGTGTCTTAATTCTTAGTGCACCATGGGGCATTTTGAGGACAGAAAAAGATTTTTACATATCGTAAATGGTGGATAAATTATTATCCCAGGGGACAGGACAATATATGACTTTATTATAATCTATGACTTTGTAAAAACAGGCTGCATACACAGTAACCTCAAAAACTCCAAAATTAAGAAACCACAAAACATACAAGAGACACTCATGTTGTTTTGCACTAACATTTCAGACACACAGGGTTGGGGAATGATGAATACAAGTTCACAAGCGCCTAATTTTCAGGGCACAACAGCTGCCCTGAGATAAACACAGTTTAACTTTTGGAATGTTTCAGCACCGCCTGTCATGTAACAAAGATCGACCAATCACAGCCAAAAGATATTTTTCTTTCATCTGTAAATATCAGTCTGTAATTAATATGGAGAAGAGGTTGTTTATTTTAGCGCAGAGGTGACAGAGCTTTACATCTGTCCCATGGATGATAGGCCTACATACAAACAACACCTGGACAAAGATCAGCTCTGCACTCAGGATTTCAGGTAAATAGGCTATGATACAGTGCTGGTTAAGGTTACTTTGCCGCCGTGTTCTTGAAAGCTGCCACAGAAGAGGCACAAGAGTAGTGCCCATTGCCTGACCTCACGTTTTCCAGGACGTAAAAGAAGCGGCATGTGTACAGCGTCTTAAGTTGAGCTTTTGTTGGATACATGGATGAATTACTGAACAGGCCTACTGCAGGCCCAGGGGCCCAAAGCATCAGTGGGCTCTCCTGGCCTTAACTTGCAAAATTTTAAACATCAAATTAACATGAATCAACCAGAAAGAGACTCAAAATGACAAAAACAGACACAAAATGACAACAAAGGGAGACAAACCCACAAAAAAGATGCAAGACAACTACAGAAAGATGCAAAATCACCACAAAGTCTGTGCGTCTTGCTCCTGTGTAGGAGAGGTTGCGGGCCCTTTGCATATCTGTGCTCAGGGGCCCACTGTCTTATTATCCACCCATGTTGGTTTGAAAGCGCCACAATGGACAAGGAGCTGATTCATGAATTCAAATGAAGATGCATTCACATTCCATCCCAGAAACCTAAACAAGGTGGCAGCTGGCTGGAGAGAGATCGCCAGACAGCTGAACATTTCTGGTAAATAACCATCACTGATAACAACCTTCTAACTGTTAGCTGTATAGTATGTCATTTCCAGTAAATCTACTCGCTCATCTTTGAAAAAGTTACGTCTCCAGTCGAGCTGATTAAAGTTGTTGTTTTCATGTCTTGTCTAGTTTAATTGTTGACATGTAAAGCACTTTGTAACTCTGTTATAAACAGAGATTATTATTATTATTATTATTATTATTATTATTATTATGGGTAGCCTATGTGGTTTGTTTACATGACGTAACAGAAGTGCACATTTAATAACAGATTCAGTGTGAAGAGAGAACGATATTTGGTTGCTGTTAGGACATAGTGTAAAATTCACAAGACGCATTTCCCATAGACAGCAGTCAGGACACTGTTGTGTGTTTTTGGCATGTAAATATCAGACCCACACAAATGAGCTCAGCAAGATTATTGTAAAGTATTCTTGAAGTAATCCAAAGTATTTATATACTTAGTTTGAGTAATGGAATGTTACAAAGTTCATTTTAGGGCATGTATTCAGTAATCTGTAGTGTAATACTTTTTAAAAGTAATCCTCCCAACACTGCAGGAACACCGTAACACTGTGATTAGCCTACTGCATGCATTTCAAAGACCATCCAAAAGCCCTATAAACAACAGGCATCTAAATAATAAGCTACAACATACTATATTATTATTGAATATAGCCCAGAGAAACATGTGGTAAAGTCTACATCAAGCAGGCAACACATTCCCTCATTTAGCAGCATCATCATAAAAACATTTAGGCATGAAGATAGTAACAACAATTGCAACAAAGAGACCAAACCAAGCTGTTATAATTAACAATCAAAAAGCCTTATACTCCTGAGATATGTCTTCAAGTGACATAAACAGATGAAGGAGCGTTCATCACTGGCATATCATTAAGAGGATCTTCATGGCAGTGTTCGTTTGATTAGAAGTCTGCAGTAAATCTGCCGGATGTCACTAATGGCATAAGGAAATGTATGCAAGGTGTATATAGGATTATGGCTGCCGGCTCTACTGTAGGGAGATATGTACTATTTCAGATAGTTGGAAAGTGTGTTTTTTAACATTGTTTGCCCTTTTTTCACTTAAAAGGATGCTCAAAAAAGCAAGAATTACTGCCTTGTAGTTGTGTGCCTCTGCGAACCAGTCAAGCTGCAGTTACATTTAACATCCATGTCTGTCCAGAGTCATGTAGCCATGACAGCTGACATTGACAATACTGCAAAGAAGCTGCATATTCAAAAACACGAACGCTTCACACACATCTTGGACACCCAAGATTAGTGTCACTAATTCAGTATCTGACCAAATGTCTCCCCTTCTGTTATGGCCAGAAAAGTGTTTTGCAGAACATTGTGACATCACAGTGAAGTTGACCTTTGACTTTTTGCATAATAAAATGTCATCTCTTCATCGTGTTATCCTATTAGACATTTGTGTGAAGTTTTGTCATAATTAGTGTATGAATTCTTGAGTTATGGCCAAAAATATGTCTTGTGAGGTCACAGTGACATTTGACCAACAAATTCTCAACATTTGTGTCAAATTTAAGGAAGTTCCCTTTAGGCTTTCTTGAGATATTGCGTTCACGAGAATGAGATAGATGTAAGGTCACAGTGACATTGACCTTTGACCCTTTGACCACCAAATTCTAACCAGTTATTCTTGAGTCCAAGTGGACATTTGTGCCAAATTTGAGGAGATTCCCTCAAGGTGTTCTTAAAACAATGCATTCAAGAGAATGTGACGTATGAACAAATGTACATAAGGACTCAAAATCATAATGCCGTTGACCATGGCTGTCACTGGTGCTGAGGCATAGAAAGATGTATGTCCTCTCTGTGATGCAATAGAAGTATTTGGTTCCTAACAAAATGCAGGGTTAGATGATCCCTATATGTTTTAGTGCCATTTTAAATGTTCTTAGTATATTTTGCGGATTATTGGAATAATATTGTGAATTGCAATGATTTTGGCTATAGATGTGACATGATTTTTTTCATATCATTCCATAACTAATGATCATGCAATGGTAATCTAATCTGAGAAGACAAAAACCTGTTCTGCTCACTTATCTATGTAAACACAATGTATCTACCAATTTTTGGATTTTTTTTTGGATTTTTTTTGAAATTTTAAGGATCATCAGTGACGATGGAAGTATGGATGGACATTACCTTTCTAAAATAAAATTTGTGTGCAAAAAGATATTTTTCTGTGCTCAAAATGTCCCATCACACACCCGATACTTAGACACAAATGAAGCTCCAGCTAAAGTTAAGTCAGGAGGACTATACTTCTGCACGATTATGTCTGTAATTTATTCCTCATACCATCTGCCATTCACCCTGCCATTCTGTCAGCTGATTACAGTTAACCAATGGCACGGCGACACACATTCTCTGCTTCTTGGTTTAAATATGCTTCTCTTTCTGCCTGTAGGTCTTTCATGCTGTGGTTGTACATTTCCTCCACCTCCATCAGCGCCTAGTCTTCTCAGAGTCATTAGCCTCATCATCCATCAGTCTCAGAGTCATCAACCACCACCACCACCGCCAGTGTCTGGACTGGCTGGTGGTGGTGTGGTGGTTACAAATCTCTCTGGAGTCCAAGCACCTAAATCTTCTGTCAAATCTTGATCAGCACATAATCTGTTAATCTCCACACCCTAATCTGTATTAAATAATTATCTTTACTTCATTCATCTGTCTCTCCTTACTCAAATAGGCCCAAATATGGAAATTATTGAAGAGTAATAGCAGCCTCTGGAGTCTTTGGTGCCTGTGTACACCAGCTTACTTTGTCCTGTTCGATATCTCCTTCCAGCAGGTTCAGCCCTGCAGCTGCAACAGAAAATCGTATCGGTTTATGAAAATACTCAGAACCATGCACAGATTATACAACAAAGCAAAACAATAATGTGTCCACAAACCTTCATTGATGTCAAAGATGTCCCAGTCATGACCTTCATCAACATCAGTTTCTGTAGATGTAGAATCAATAAGGTGCTGCTCAAAAACGGGACTACAGAAGTATCTTATTAACATAATTATTATTGTACATGTGCAATAAGTGTTCCTCCCTGTCCCACAGACCTGAGACGTGTTTACTTTAAAAGGTAGCATATGTTTAAAATGCTTATTTATTCTTAAATTAAAAATCTGAAATTCTGGTGCCTGGCCTGAAGATTTGAAATGAATTTCTAAATTATTCTGAGTGACAGCCCTTTAGCCAAAACAGATTTTTTTCAGCCTGCCAAAAGATCTCAAGTGCATAGGGTATTTGAAATCTTCTCACTTTGAGTGTATCTAACCTCAGCCTAAGTCAAGTTTTTGTCCCCCTTTTGACAGGAATTAACATGAGAAACATTTATAACATGTGACTCACCTGTATCACCTGTAAGCTTAGCTGTTGCCTGGTAAATACATGAGAAAATACATCATAATCAATGTCAATGTTTTGCACTAGAGATATAATATGACTGTTAATGTTGCAAAAAAAAGCAAAAGTTTACTGGTACCAGTCCAAGGCCATAGAACAGAATGATGCACCTGAGTGCCATGGCTCCAGCTGCAGACACACTCAACCTGCCTCAGCCCTGCTGCGCCTGGAGAAATGCTCTTCCTTTGTTTTAGAACATAACCGATGATCTATCAGATAATAAGGACATTTACAGACAGTGTCATAAGTTGTACGGACAAGCAAACATGTTAGGTCACAAATCAAATATGTGTTCAGTGTCTGCGAAGACCTTGATTTCTAAAGCTTTTTGTACCCCACTATTCACTGTCCACCTGTGGTGTTGCTATAGAGTGCCGCAGGAATGAGTCCTTAAACCCAGAATGAGTTAACGTTTTAGCAGTCCCAGTTCCCTCCTCTTAAAGTCAGTGAGTTTTTTTTGGTTAGATCTCTGAAATAAGGTCTGAGGTTTTCACAAGTTTTAGAAACTTTTGTTCTGTTCTCTCTTTCACATGGTGGTTGCTAACAAGTGGCTAAATGAGACTATAGAACATCATCACACTGAGCACGACTTTACAACCTCGTTGTGGTGGCAACTTTAAGTCATGTGACCGTAGTGTAGTTTGTTCATAGACTGTTAGCATTTTAATTCTGGTGTTTGCATTTATGCTTCAAAAAACATAAAAGTGGTGTTTATTTGTCAAGTTTTTCTTGCTGAACAAAACGTATCAGCAGACGTGGCCAGATGTTGTTTGTTTCAATAATTTTATTTTTAGTTTTTAAATTTAAAAAAATGTAGAAATATATGCACATCACTTCTGGGTTGAATGAAAAACTTTAGAAAAAAGTTTTGTTTTTCTAAAAAAAATTAAAAAAAAAAAACTCTCATTAGGCTCCAATTTTGGAGCCTAATGAGAGTGTGCGGGCTCTTTCTCTCTTTTTTCTAAAGTTTTTAAATTTAACCAGTGGCATCAATTCTCAATTGAAAACGTGCTGTGTGCCTGACAACTGCATCTGAGTCGATCCTCTGCCCCTCCCACTTTAACTTCACCTCTTGTCACAATCACCACAACATCCAAGCCGGCACGACTCATCCTTACTCATCCAGAGGCTAGCGGCATAATTGACCTTGTCTAAGGGTCCAGACTGAATATGTGTTACCTGCCCTGACCGGTATTCCCCAGTCGTCGAACCCCGATCTTCAAAGTCATTAACCTTAACCACACACAGCCATGTCTAGGGTTTACAGAAGATGGTCCGAAAAAGAGAAAATCTCCAGTGAGCAGCAGTTCTCTGGGTGAAAATGCCTTGTTAATGCCAGAGGTCAGAGGAGAATGAACAGACTGGTTCAAGATGATGGAAAGGCAACAGTAACTCAAATAACAGCTCTTTACAACCAAGGTATGCAGAAGACTATCTCTGAACGAGCAACATGCCGAATCTTGAAGCAGATGGGCTACAGCAGCATAAGACCACACCGGGTGCCACTCCTGTCAGCTAACAACAGGGAACTGAGGCTACAATTCACACAGGCTCACCAAAACTGGACAATAGAAGATTGAAAAATGTCGCCTGGTCTGATAAATCTCGATTCCTGCTGTAACATTCAGATGGTAGGGTCAGACTTTGATGTAAACAATATGAAAGCATGGATCAATCCTGCCTTGTATCATAGGTTCAGGCTTGTGGTGGTGGTGTAATGGTGTGGGGGATATTTTCTTGGCACACTATGGGCCTCTTAGAACCAACTGAGCATTGTTTAAACACCACAGCCTACCGGAGTACTGTTGCTGACTGTGCCCATCCCTTTATGACCACAGTGTACCCATCTTCTGATGGCTACTTCCAGCAGGATAACACACCATGTCACAAAGCTCAAATCATCTCAAACTGGTTTCTTGAACATGACAATGAGTTCACTGTACTCCAATGGCCTCCACAGTCACCAAATCTCAATCCAAAAGAGCACCTTTGGGATGTGGTGGAAAGGGATCATAATGGATGCGTAGCTGACAAATCTGCAGCAACTATGTGACACTATCATGTCAATATGGACCAAAATCTCAGGGATGTTTCCAACACCTTGTTGAATCTATGCCACGAAGAATTAAGGCAGTTCTAAAGGCAAAACTGGGTCCAACCTGATACAAGATAGGTGTACCTAATAAAGTGGCCACTCCACTTACTTGTTATCAAACCGTTATCAAAGTTATTAAACATATGTGACATAAATGAACTTCAGATTAGTACTTGTGTATTTCAGTTTCACAATTCACTTTCCATTTCCCTTTAAAGCTAAAATAGGTCTCAGAGCCACTGTTACCGCACCACATCTGTTGTATGGTCAGTTTTATAGAACAAACCTTGGCTAGTTTTCAATTAGAAGCCCTGTTTACCAGAAATTACATTTATATACAGCTATATATGTTTTAAAGGAAATGTAATGCAGAGCTAATTTTCTATCAACGTAATGAGGAATGTTGCGAATTAACGTAAATTTTAAGTCACAAAAATGTTGATACTGAGCGTATCAGCAAAATGTATATCATTTGTTTTCCGCCACAATATCTTGCCTAAACCTAAGTAAAGAGTCTGTGTTATGGTGTTTTTTTTGTTGCCTAAGCCCCTGACAGGAGACTTGACACGAGGCCAAGGTTCTAATATCAAGATCCTGCACGTTATACGTCTGCCATCATTCACAGCCACCTCCTTACAAAGCCTGTGCAGTACATGAATGTAGTGTTCTTTTTCCTTTTATAGGGTATTGTGAAAATAATTATGTCTGTTTGTAAGTTAAGCATATACAGCTGTCTTTAATGTCAATGTTAAGTTAGTTCTGTTCACAAGCCCTAAGAGGATTTTCCATTCCCCCTGTGCATTTTTTAAATTTATTGTATTTTTTAAAAATCTTATTTCATTTCATGCACAAATAAAAAATTAAAGTGAGCCACTACATTTCTTACCTACTGAAGTTGCTAAATGCCTTTTTAGACTGGATTTCAGCCGGCCGTCTCTCCTGGAAGGTGATGATGTTCTGAGAGAAATGTATCTGCTGTTCACTGAGAGGAACACTGCTCTACACAGTGAAAATTAAACTGTCTATGCTGTCTTCACCCAAATGATTGCTGACTCTTATATGTGATGCTTAAGCCAGCCCCTGCTACATCACTTCCTGTGACAGCAAATGGAACAGTGTAGTGAAATGGGCAACAGTGTGATTAGCTTCTACCTGATTTTGTTCAGGCTGACTTTTTATGTCATTTTACACCAATTTTGAAGAATGGCAAAGCAACTCTAAAGCTACTGTCAATTCTCACATCAGGGCAACAGGTCTTTAAACAACACCAAAGAAGGTCCACATACTGTAGATCTCTTAAGTGCAATTTATTGGTAAATCCACAACTAATGTTTCAAGCTGAACGCTATTCTTCAGACTGTTGTTTGTTACTGTTCTTCTTGTCCAGTGCCTGCCTTAAATGGTTTTTGGATGTGCACGACTATCATGTGTGTAGGTCTTGAAAATGTTTTTAAAAGGATTTATTACCTTAAAATAAGACGATCAAAGTCTGACATTTAATTTACTACAGTCGTAAATCTTGTCTCTTGGCTGCTGTTGGCAGTTATGTTAGTTATTAAGTGTTTCTTTGTGTGATTGCAGGCTGTCAGGAGACGTTCTACATCCCTAAGCTAAAAATGGAATTGTTACAACAGTGGATTTTGCTGCAGGACCATCAGACCTGCGGTAAAGACTGACTATGTTTACATGCACTGTTGTTTCTTAAATAGCGATGATGTGAAGGTGATGAAGAAGTCTCCGATGACACCATCTTGCTTGCATAAAAAAAGGTTTATTACAAGAAGTACAGCATCTATCAAGCATCTAGAATGCTTGGAGAGGCAATGCCATAAACAATGCCAAAAACATTGCCATCATTGAAATCCATGCATGTGTGCAGTTATGCAATTTGAAATTAATTAATTTGTTAGCTAAAATATGTGGCTGTATCATATTAAAAGCACTAGAAAAGTCAAAGAACAAAATCCTAACAGAGCTGGCAGTGGTTTCAAGGTTACTGTACATGTTATGAAGCATAAAAAGAATAGCATCATCAACCCCCACGCCTCTCCTGTAGGCAAATTGCAAAGGATCCTGAAAGACTGACACCTGCCTAGTCAGGTGAGCCAAGACAACTCTCTCAAAGCACTTCATAATGTGCAATGTGAGGGCTATAGGTCTCAGGTTGGCAAGGTCACAGGACACATTGGCTTTCTTGGGAATGGGGACAAGGCAAGAAGTTTTCCACATAACTGGGATTTTAGCACAGACAGAGGACAGAGCCAGTGAAAACAATGAATGGAGGACTGTGCACAGCTGGTCAGCACAGACCTTTTGGGTGCGTGGATGAACACCACCAGGGCCTGCTGCCTTATTGTCTTTAATACACCTTAACTGCTGTTGAACCTCCTCAGTCTTAAAAGCAATGGCTGGACTACAGTCCTCAGAACTGCTCTGCATAAGGGAGGAGAGAATATTCTCATGTGAAGCAGAAAAATCAATATCATCAAACCTGGTAAAAAAAAACACAGGTTAGCATCATCTGCTTTTATCCCAGAGCCACGCCAAGTTCCCTCTGAGCGACTCTAATCCTGTCTTTATCATCACTATAAAAGGCAGCTTTCTTTTTGTTAATTGCAGCCTTAACCTCTCTAGTCACCCATGGTTTATTATTGGGAAAAAATAAAATTTGTTTACAGAGGATTACAGACTCGACACAGTAATTAATATGGCTGGTAACTTTATCAGAGATGCTGTCAAGATCATTATCTTTATCAAAGAACACAGTCCAGTCCATGCATTCAAAGCGTACTCTTAATGATTCACAGGCATCTTCTGACCAGATGCGCACAGTTTTTGATATTATCGGCTGTTACACCCGCAAACGTAATAACAGCCCACAAACGTAATAAACCACAAATGTTATACAAATCTGCAGCTTTGAATGTAATAATCCCTCAAATGTAATAAATTTCCCACAAACGTAATAGCAGCTGCCTACTACAAACGTAACACACAATTTTCCACAAATGTAATAACTATTACATTTGCAGGAAATTATTACATATGTGGGAAGGTGAAAATCTAAACTGTAATAACTTCCCACAAATGTAATATGAGACTGAATAATGATCTTTGTGGTTGTTGTTGTTTGTTTGTTTACTTATACACCTGCCAATAGTGATGCGTGTGTTGACAAGCAACCCGCAGGTCGGGTGGGGCGGGTCAGAAAGTGACAGAGCAGCGTTCTGAGTAAGTTAGAAATAACTTACAGAAACACACACATACACACACACACACACACACACTGGTCATTCCTTGTCAGTTCACAGAATTATTCTGTGGCAGCAAATATGTTGTTTAATTGGATTTATTTTCTTTTCTTCTGCCTCTTGTTAATACGGATTTAATGGGAAATTTATTACATTTGCGGGATTATTACATTCAAAGCTGCAGATTTGTATTATGTTTGTGGTTTATTACGTTTGTGGGCTGTTATTACGTTTGCAGGTGTAACAATCGGCTGTTTCTGAATCGCCAGTGAATATCTGGGCAACAAAGAAATTAAGTTATGGTCCGAATTTGCCCAGCGGAGGAAGTGTCTTAGCCACAAAGCTGTCCTTAACATTGATATAAAACAAATCAATAGTTCTGTCACCTCTCGTAGGACGTGACACCATTTGTTTAAAAGATGGTAAAGTGGAGGAGATAGAGCAGTGACTGAAGTCCTCATTTATAATAACCAGCACGTCTGGCGAAGAACGCTGTAAGTCATGTGTGATTGTTGATATTGTCTCTGTGGCCAATTTCCCATTGCCAGATGGAGGAATGTAGACTACCAGGACAATCACATGGGTCAGCTCCCTGGGTAAATAATAAGGAGGCAGCTCACCACAAGGAGCTCAATGTTAGGGTCACATACTTTCTCCGTAACCGTAATATGATTGGGATGGCACCATCTATCATTTACATATAAACAAACTCCCCCACTTTGCTTTTTGCCCGTCCTTTTTTCATCACCGTCCATCCAATGAAGTGTAAAGCCTTCCATATTCACATGAGACTCTGGTATCCTGTCAGATAGCCACGTCTCTGAAAAACAGAGCAAACTGCTCCGTCGGTATAGGCGATTGCACCTCAGACAAGCTGACAGCTCATCCACCTTGATAACCAAGGAGCGGACATTCCCCATAACCACAGAGGGAAGAACTGGTTTATATCCTTGTCGGCTGTTTCTGACCCGGACGCCTCCTCTGCGGCCTCTCCTTCTAGATCCAGCCCTGGGCTTGATTCTCAACAAGTCAGCATCATGATCCAACAAAGTTGGTGCGGAGTGCCACAGACGAAGAAGCTCCTGCCGGCTGTAGGTAATGACAGGCGGGCCTAACTCTCTCCCGACATGGAGTATTTGCGCTGTTTTCCAAACAAATAAAGTCCACAGCAGCACAATGCAGATAAACAAGCGATAATTAAATATAGCCATAATCATGTCATCAGGGGTTGATCACACGGGTGAACAAGAAAGGCCGTTAAAAACACGTAAAAACACAAAGACAGCACAATGGTCTTTCGATTAGCTAAAGAAAAACAGGATTTGTTCCTATACAAAAAGCCAATTTTGACCTTCAGTTTGCTCGATAGGTGTTATGAGTTTTAAAAGTGAGTCTGGTATCCAGCCACAGTCCCAAGTATTTATAACATTCAATAGTTTCAATTTCAGAACCCTGAAAGGTTCGGATATGGGTAGTATGTTGAATACTGTTTAGTGATCTAGAGAATAGCATACATTGGGTTTTGGCTGAATTCAGAACAAGCTTATGTTTGATGAGAGATATCTGAAATTTATCAAAAGCAGACTGTAGATTTTTTAGTGGCCAAAGTAAGAGAGCGGCATATAAAATAGTGTCGTCTGCATAAAAATGTACATTACAGTTTGAGGTGGCACGGATTATATTATCTATGTATATGGTGAATAAAAGAGGACCAATAATGGATCCTTGTGGTACACCTATTGAGACATTAAGGGAGCTTGACTTAGAGCCATTGGAGACTACTACCTGAGTTCTACCTGAGAGATAATCAAAAAACCATTTAATGGACTGTTCATCTAACCCAATTAAGCAAAGTTTATCTAATAAAATATCATGATCAACTGAGTCAAATGCTTTAGATAAGTCAATGAAAAGTGTAGCACAGTGTTGGTGATTGTCCAGGGCTTCAATGATATTCTTAAGTACGCATACTGCAGCTGTTGTTGTGCTATGATTTGACCTGAAACCCGACTGCTCTGACTGTAATATGTTTTTTTGACTCCAGAAACAGTCTCAGTTGAGAATTTACTAGGGAATCCAGGGTTTTTGCTAAACAGGATAATTTTGAGATTGGACGGTAGTTATTTAGGAAACTACCCAGATAGCACACATACATCTGGCTGACGTCGGCCTAAGGACGACACATCGGCCCTTAATTTCTAACAGCTGACAAGCGTCGGCCGCATGGGCGGATACCTTTAAATTTAATACTCTTTTGTCCCAGCTCATCAAATGTCTCTGTTACGTCGGCTTTGGGTCGGCCCATACCTGCCCACATACAGAAGTCGCCACGGTAGGCGGAATTTCATCTTTGCGGTCTTTGTTTCGAACTGAGCTTGCAGGGAGCAGCATCTCATCAGTTGGTTTCAGGTAAGCTAATTGGAATTAACTGGCAGAAAATAGCTGTGTTGTTTATTCTCTGACCGTTAAAAGAGGTTCCTGGTGAGTGGTGAGCCACGACTGAGTGTATATAGCTTAGCACAGGTCCCCACCAGCTAACGTTATCTTTCATTAACTGCTAGTTTAGCTCATGTTAGCTAACACGCTACAACTGTGATGTTTTCATTTTATTTTCTCTAG